GTTTTATCAATTTTATTTCAAGCAAATTCATTTTTTTGGCCTAATTTTTGTTCCATTTTTATTTGCTTTTACTACAAAGTGAAAGATATGAGTCTAGATGCATTCTTTGGCATGTGGATAGCAGTTTTCCAGCAACATTTATTAAAAAGATTACTTTTCTGTAGTGTGTGATTTTTGCTGCTTTGTCAAAGACCAGATGGATAGCTAAATGTGTCCGTGGTTGCTTTAGCATCCTCTGTTCTTTTCCACTGATCTGTAGGTCTGCTTTTGTGCCAGTAATATGCTGATTTTTTTTTTCGTTATAGCCTTGTAATGAAACTTGAAATCCATGAAGGTGTTGCATCTTGCTTTGCTCTTGTTGCCTGGGATTGCTTTTAGTATTCTGGATCTCTTCTGGTTTCTTACAAATTTTTAGATTGTTTTTTCTAGTTCAGTGAATAATATTGTTGGCATTTTGATTGGGATTCCAGTAAATCTATATTTCAGCTTTGGTGAAATGTACATTTTGACAATAGTAGACCTGCCTATCCAGAAGCAGGGAATGTCTTTCATTTTAAAATTTCTTCCTTGAACTTTTGTCTAGATTACTATAATTTTCATTGTACAAGTTTTACACTTCTCTGGTTAAGTTAATTCCTAGGTTTCTAATTTTCTTGAAGCTATGGTGAATGGGATTATTTTCCCAGGTTCATTATGAATGGATTCATTGTTTTCATATAGGAACAGTATTGACTTATGTGTGTTGATTTTTTTATCCATCTTGTTTAGTACAAGCAGCATTTTGTTTGTCTTTTAAAAGTTCATTTAAAACTTTATTAATTAAATTCTTTCTTGCTTGTTTGCTCGCTCTCTCTCTCTCTCTCTCTCTCTCTCTCTCTCTCTCTCTCTCTCTCTCTTTCCTCCGTTTCCATTCTGTTACCTCACTGAACACCTTATGGATTTTTCTGTGTATTTTTCCATTGATCTCTTCAATCATTTTAAACATTGGTTTTTTTATTTCATTACCTTTGACATCCTCTACTTCATTACTCATAACACACCAGCTTTGGGAGAATTAAGAGTTTTTGGAGATATCTTGTTGCCTTGGTTTCTAATTTTTATTTTGTTTTTGTGCTAAAGATGATGAACAATTAGGGTACAAAAACTCACTGCTCTGAAGACATCTTTAGTTGGTTTGTTTCCCTGTCATGACTGTTGCTTTAGAGATATTTTGATATTTTGTACACACGTCTTCATCCTACTTAATGCAATAGGATCAGTCCCTGTCAGTGCATCACAAGAAGAGAAAAACTAGTGTTTATATCATCATCACCTACATCGCCAAACACATATCAGTTTAAAACAACTTTTTAATAATTTTACCCCTTTTTCAGTAACCAACAAAGTCTATGGTATAGTATTAATGGAAAGTAGTCTGGGAAATAGAGAATAGGGAAGGAAAAAAGAAGAAAAAAGGAAGAAAACAGCTCAAGAAGAAAATATAATAGCGAATAAAAGAAGAAGAGAGATAGGAATTGTTGACTTTTTACATCTGGATTGGAGACTGGTGAAGATTTTGCTTTGAAAAGTTCTTTGTGGGAGTGGAAAAAGGAAGAAGGGGAGGTAAGTATACTTGGAGGTTGAGGGAAATTGTAATGTCAGAACAAATTAACATATTTATAGAAACTTCTATTTAAGTCCTTTATACACAATTTTTGGTGAGGATTAACCTGACATGCCCATAAAAAATACTATCCACACAAAAGCACTAATTAATTCTTATTCTACTTTTCATATATAAAAGCAGATTAAAGGACAAAAGACAGAGAGAAAAAATACAAGCACATGCACTTAAGAAAACACTAAGGGGCTTCCTAGTCCTATTTTTACAGCAATCAGAATTCAACCACTGTACACTTCATTCTACATCCACAAATAGAGAAACTTTGACTTGTAGCACGTGTCAGGGCTCAGGTGCAGTGCTCTATGCCTGAGTTCTGGGGCTCAATCTAGTTTCCTTCCTACGATTTGTTCTGTTACCTCTCAGTGAGTAAAGTTGTCAGGAACCACAAATTATAAACTGAGACTGGGGGCATGCAAGGCCATCTTTGTCCTGCCCTTTGAGCCAGATTGGAACTTGGCTCCCTTCTCTTTTCTGGTCACAGATGAAAGCTCTATGGTTAGTGACTGCTGTGGCACTCAGTGAAAGATAAAAACTGCTCGAGATGATAAGGTACTTTGGGAAACTATAGCTGCCTTATTGCCCTCTATCTTGTCCTTGAAAGAAAGCTTGGATCTTCCTACTGTCCCACTGTGGTCCCCATTACTGTTCCCAGAAACACTCACCACCTGTCACCCACTGTCCTTGGCTCATATGTAATCAATAAATATCAAGATTCTGGCTGCCTCATGGCCTTTTGTTCCCCATGAGCAACTGGTCATTCCAGATTCCTGCTGCATCCCTGTTTTGTCTCCTGTTCTCTTTCTTGTCACCATGCACTGTAAGTCTGGGCAGGAGATGGGGACTCACTACAGGAGTTCCTGATGACTGATGCCATGGAAAGGGTCTCCTCTCCTATTGATGGTGCTCAATGTGGCCTGAACACACAGCATTCTCCCCCGCCTGGTGGATTTACTAGGAGTGTTTCAACAGCATTTGGATATCATGTGACGATTCTGGAGAACTCCGGTGCAGAGCTAAGATAAGTGTTTTGATGTGAGTGATCATTTTGCTGGAAGTAAAACAAGGGTGTGAAATCTCTTTCTTTAAAATCTTTTTGTAAAATCTCTTTTACGGAAGGCAAACTACACAGTGACAACTAGAAGTATCTCTAAAATAATCTAGGAAATAATTAAGTACAATCCTTGGTTCTCGTGAGCAGGAACTTTAGATACTGAAAATTAGGACAAGGTGGGAAAAAATTTAAAGAGATCTCACAGCAGAGGAGAAGATGTTTCTCCTGAGATCTTCTCAGTTTGGAGGTTGGTAAAATCTGTTTTACATGTGTTAAGTACTAGTTCTCACAAAGTTCTGTTTTAGAACAGGACAAGGGAGATAAATAGATAGATTAAATAAATAAATAAATAAGTAAACCTTCCACTATGCCACTGCTTTCTAGGAGAGACCTAGAGCTGGTTGAGAGTTTTAAATACACACCTCAGCTCACATTTTCAGATTTTTAGAGACTGATTCCGCTCACCCAAGATGGTGGAACAGTTCTCTTCAAGGGAGGCAGTGACAGAGGCAGGAGTGTTGGCACAGGACTTGTACTGACAGGAATGAGGTAGCCTTGGCTGTACAGTGACAGAGCTGTATAACAGAGAAGCAGCTTCCCCTTCCCTGCTTCCTTCAGCAGGGCCAGGCATGGTGGCGCACACCTATAGTCCCAGCTATGGGAGAAGCTCAGGTTGGTGAAATGCTTAAATACAGGGACTCTTTACAGAATCTTTCATTGGTTCAAATAATGTGTCAATTGTTATGATATGGCTCTCACAGTACATCAAAAATTTGTTAATATATTTAAATAGAGATCCTTCAGAGTGGGGGAGCTATTTTACAGGATTCTGCTTGGTGAATAAAGGAGTAACTGCTGAGAATAATGTTATTCCAGCCTTTGTCCCTTAAGGGGGCCCCACTGGTTCCTATAGCTTTATGGGAGACATGTCAATAAACATTGTTAAATATATTATTGCAATGTGTTTACATTGATCACCATCAAAAGGCTAAGTTTTCTATAAATAGAATAAGGTTTTCTCATTAAAAGATGCTCTTGGTACAAAACTAAATTAAGAAACAAAAGTTTTCAAATGGCTGTGAAATTCAATATTGCTAATCACATGATATATTAAATATATTCATACCTCCCAGATGTACAGGTCTTCTAAAATGTAAAACTGAGATTGTTTACAGTGGTAAGATTTTTCTCTAGATTTAGATATCTGCCTTTCTCTTGTACTCCAGCTGCTTGTAATGAGGTATGTCAAACCAACATGAGAACACCTGTCAAAAATAATTATTTTACAAAAGGCTTCTGTGATGTTTTCTATACATGTGTTATTACACTTAGACATGCTTAGGTATTCAACAGTCCGGACAATGTCTCAAATGTCAATGATAACCCATTAAAGGACAAAAGTTAAGTGAGAGCTTCTTATGCACTACACAGAGATGATTGACTGAAAAGGTTATTCTATATCAAAATAGAGACTTAAGTGTGTTACAAAAATAATGTTATCATAATTTTCATGTTAAAATATTATGTATGGCTTTTGATCTCATGTTTTCTTTATAAAATTTAACTGTTTCCTATTAACACTCTACTGGGATACAATTAAGATAACAATGGCCGGTAAGAAATAACACTCTTCTGGCTCTACTTTAGATTTCAATGTACCTGATATCCAGATAAAATTATAATACTTAAACTAATTACTCACATAATAATACTATTTCTCACATTGCAAGGCACTAAAAAGGCCATCATATACAACATTGTTTATTGACATTTGCTTAAAACCATAAAAACAGATAATGGACCTGCTTATATTAGCAGACCCACTCAACAATTTTTTCAGCTTTAGGGAATTAAGCATGTAAATATAATTCCCTACAATCCTCAGGGACAATCAATTATTGAAATAACTCATTTAACCCTAAAACAATTAATAACACAAAAACAGGGAATCCAGATATCATCACAGATTCAACTAGAGTTAGTGATTTATGTTTTAAATTTCTTCAATGTGGCTTCTGAATCCTCATAATCCCCCACCACGCTTCATTGGCAAATTCTTCTTTTCTTTAGCCTAAGGCAGTAGGCCCCAAGACCTGCAGAGCAATCTTCAGAGAGGGAAATGCTGTGTTCCCACCACACTGATCACATGGGGGTGAGAGTTTGCTTGTATTTCCATAGATAATGGAGAAATGCTATGGCTGTCATCCTAATGTGTGCAAGAATGAAATGGTGGTGGTCCCTGCAGGCAGCAAGACCATCAGTCAAACCTCTGAGAGGAGCACTCACCAACAGGACTTTGGAGGATGCCCCTACTCCACTCACACTGCCAACTGCTCCAGATAGGAGCCCAATAACAATGAGACAACTGAAGAAGATGGCCCAAAAAGCTAGGATGTTGGTCACATGATAGAACCTTCCACATATCCCTGAAAATGTGTTCATTGCCATGGTGGCTATCGTAGCCCACACTACATCTACAGCCCCTACGACAGGACATGGATATTGCGCATATGTGCCTAATCCACGCTTGTTCAGACCCATTACGTGGATGGACTCTCCCCCTAAAATCTATAATAAATCAGAAGTTTATCATAGGTTGATTTGGTACCTTCTCCTTCATCATTATTAGAGATGCAGGATAAGGCTGTCATAAATTGTACATCTCATTTCACTTACCTCCCGTCGTGTGTGGACTATAGGATAATACAGTCCAATTATTGCCTTCTTGGTGCTCCAAACTGGGTGACACAAAATCATGATCCATTAATATTTTGATCTTTGTTTCAATCCATACAATGGGTGAAGAGATTGATTCTTTTGTCCCTAATGTCCCTTTTGGTGAAAAGTGTACTTATTGTACTAATTATGTAAAAGGTGCCCCTCCTCCTTGGGTCCTTAGCAAAGGAAGAAAGGGACAAAAATCTCCATGGGCTAATGTAATTTTATTGATTGAGGACCTAGAGGATCACAGTGAGGGAGAGTTAACAATGTTTCTGATTGACATGGCATTTTGGAAATGGGTTAACATATCAGCTATACAGATTCTCCCTGGAAGAGAATTTACCATGTAGGATTTAGCACACCAATCCCTTGGGCTTGGATTAATAGAAAGTTTGGGCCTATACAAACTATGGTTGGAAACTTTCCCTGCCCTACATTGTGGGGGAAATATGGACAAGTCATAAGATGCACCACACTAAGGACAATGTTACTATGGTGGCTAAACAGAGTGATAGCCAAAGAACTTCAATATGCATTTACAATCCTTATGTCTTCCTTTATGGAACTAGAGCCTGGAATAAAACTTCCTTTTCATGTGCAAAATGTACCTCCAGATGTCACTGCATTTAAGCAGAAAATTTACTGATAAAAGTTTAATGATCCTGGGATGTATGACAGGAGTGTGCATACCAGTTAGTCTAACTGAGCCTTGATCTCACTCTGATGCTACATTTTTTGCAGTACTTAAGTAGTCATCTTGCACATAGAACTTAAAGAGAGATTGGTCTGATTATTGCTGGAATTGTCTCCTTAAGCTCATCTCCAGTGTGGCTTTCTTTTCTGTTGCTCTTGCTCATTCCGTCCAGACAGCTGACTCTGTGGACAATTGGACCTACGTGTTTTAAAGAAGGAAATATTGTCTATATCTCGACAAGCTCAAAATTTTGAGTAACAAATACCGGATTGGGATAAATTTTCTGATGTCCTCAGCTAGCTGAATCCTTTTAAATAATTCAAGGCTCATGCATGGTTTTATGTCACTATTCTCACAGTGATTTGTTTATATCTTCTGATTTTATTCTTAGTCTGCCACAGAGGAACTCAGATCCACTGGAATTTAGAGACTCTGCAGCCACCTCTCACTCTGATTCAACTTCTGCAATCATATAAACAGAAAAGGGGAAATATGGGGGACCACACATTATAAATTGAGACTAGGGGACATACAAGGCCATCCTTGTCCTTCCCCTTGAGCCAGATTGGAATGTGGCAACTCCCCTCTCTTTTCTGGTCACAGCTGGAAGCCCTAGGTCGTGACTGCTGTGGTGCTCGCCAGGGAAGATAAGAACTGCTGAAGACAGTAAGGCACCTGGGGAAACTACAGCTACCTTATTGCCCCCTGTCTTGTCCTTGCAAGGATGTTTTGCTCTTCTTACCAGCCCACTGTAGTCACCAATAATGAGCCCAGAATCACTGACAACCTGTCACCCACTGTCCTTGACTCAGATGTAATAAATAAGCACCAAGGTTCTGGCTGCCTTGTGATCTTTTGTTCTCCACAAACAACTGGTCGTCACTGGTCCCTGCTGCACCCCTATGTTGTTTCTTTCACTCATGCTTCTCACCGTGTACTGTAACTCTAGGCAGGAGACTGGGGACTTGCAGCAGTCCCTGATAACTGGCACCATGAAAAAGGTCTCCAATATTAATTGGCTTGGGGTCTAGATGCACTGCTGAACCTGTCTCTAATTCCCTCTCCAGGCAGTGCTCTGCTTTGTTTTAGTTGCACTTCTGCTGCCTGATAAGCCAGAGATGCTTTTACGTCTGTCTTATGATTGTATATCTTCAATTGTGTCAGAGGGAGGAAGGGTACAGGTATGGTTAACCAAGTCCCCTGCCTTACACTGCTTTTTGAAAGTGTCGTTTTGGTCTCCACCGCTTTCCTTCAGTGATAATCCTTGTAGTTGCTTATATTTGCCCTTCCTATACTGCTGTGGATGAGCATGATGACTAACCCCTCTGGCTATGCCAGGCTTCTACAGACTGTGGCCCTGCCAAACTCTCTGTTCCCCACAAAATATCTCTATTCAACCCACAAACTAAGGCATGCCTAGGGCGTACAGAGGTCAGCAGCATTTGGCTGGGCATGAGAAAGCTCCCGTGCTGGCACAGAGCCATAGTGGTCTCTGGAGGGTGGGATATCTATAGGCAGAGACCTCACTGGTATTTCTGGGAGCCAAGAAAGAATGCCAATTTTAACACTTCCCTAGTGCCTTTTCTCTCCCCCTTGGTCACACTGGCCACAAATGCTGTTCACTAAGCCATGGCTGTCACAGAGTTTAGTTCCAGATCCCTAAAGATCGTGACCTTGCTTCTTTCTTTCCCAGGTGCCCATTGGTCCTAGTCAATCAGTGCCCTCCAAACTATTCCGTCTTGCAGCTTCTCTAGATGTGTTTATGTTTTGCAATGGAGTACCACTCTGCCATAAAGAAGGATATGCTTGAGACATTTATAGGTAAATGAATGCACCATGAGACCATACACTTAAGTGAAATAAATAGGACACACATGTTCAAAAAGCACATGATTTCTCTGTTGCAGGAAAGCAAAAGGGTAAATAAGGACTCAAATGTATAACAGATACTGGGAAACAGGAAGAAATTATATGGAAAGAAACTTTTTGTACACAAAGTGGGAAAGGTGTTGAAGGGAGGAGAAGGTATTGGGGAAAAAAGAAGAATCAAGATTTTATTATGTACAGGCACAAATTCCCTATGATGAATGTACCTACTTAATGGCACATATTAGATATGTGATTTGCAAATATTTTTCACCCTATGGAATATTTTTCACCCTATTGATTATATCCTACAATACACAGAAAACCCGTTCAATTCAGCAGGAAAAAACAAATGCCTATTTAAAAATGGTAAAAAATTTACGTAGATATTTCACCAAAAACTATATAGTCAGTAAAAAAGCAAAAATGCTTAATGTCACTTATTATTAGTATAAAGCAAATCAAAGCCACAATGAAGTATCACCTCACATCCCACAATACCACTAGGATGACTAATATCAGAAAACAAATAAACAAAACTAGAAAATATTCTATTGGCATAGATTTGGAGGAACAGGTAATCTTGTATACAGTTGCAATGGGAAAATTATGCAGACCATATGGAAAATATTATGGCAATTACTCAAAATTAAAAATAAGACTACTATAAGATATATTCATTTTAATCCTAGGTTTGTTCCCAGAAGAATTAAAATCAGAGACTTGAACAGGTAAGTATATACCAATGTTAATTAATTGTAGAATTCTAAATAGGAAAAAAGTGGAAATAACTCAAATGTCCATCAGCAAATTAAAGGTTAAAGTGTGGTGTACACTTAACAGTTAACATGAATATATACATAAAGAAATACTTATTATTCAGCTTTTTTTGTGGTGCTAGGGATGAAACCCAGGGCTTTGTGCATACAAGGCAACAGCACTACCACTGAGCCACATCCCCAGCCCCTCTTCAGCCTACTTAAAGAAGGAAATTCTAGTACTTGCTATGTCATGCATGACCTTTGAGGACATTCAGTAAGTGAAATGAATCAGTAATGAAAGGGCAACTATTACGGCTGGGGATTTAGCTCAGCGGCAAAAGCGCCTGCCTGGCAAGCGCAAGGTCATGAGTTCGGTTCCCGGTACCAGAGAAAAAAAAAAAAAAAGGGCAACTATTGTGTGATTCCATTCCATGAGGTCAGTGGAGTACTCAAAATCAAAGAAACAAAAGTAGTATGGTGGTTATCAGAATCCAGAGAGACGAGGGGATGGAAGATATTGTGTAATAGATAAAAAGTTTCTATTTTTTAAGATTTGGAAATGGAGATGCAACTATTTGAATATACTGAATGTCCCTGAAATGCCATACATTGAATATAATTAAGTTGCTAAACTTTGTATTTTACTACCATTTCACTGTTTAAATAAGAAAGAGATATCAATGGAACTTGGAGAACAATAATCTTCTCAGTAGTTAAAATGCTGTCTAAATTTCTGTTTACATTAAAATCATGCCCCTATGACCTAACTATGCCATATCTAAATTCGCATCATTAAGAAATACCACAGATACTAGTTCCTATTCATGTATGTACCCAGAGTGGTACAACACAATTTCCCTAACATTGATTCCCACAATAAAGAACATATACCTGACTTCATATGCTAAAGCGGCTGTCACTCAAACTGGGTTTTTTGTATAAATAATTTCTTATTTATGAATTATTTATTTATAAATTTATAGATTATTATTTACAAATAAAATTGTGGAGAAGGATATTCTATACTTTGCTTTTCAATGTATTACCTATACGGGTCTTTGAGCCTGACCAAGCCGTACAATTGTTTCTGGAGGAAGTCTAGGAAAAGCATTAGTGTAAAAGGAAATGAAAGCAGGACCTTAGTCCCTATGGAAAGCCGCTGGGACTGTACTAGATGCTTTGCTGAGATATGTCCAAAGGAACGATGACATGATGGCTAGCTAAGCCAAAGTTCAGTTCTTGGAATAATTAAGCTGTATTCCCCTCACTAATGCTGTTTTTGAAGAATGTGTTTTTAGTTTTCTGAGATTTGAATACATACTTTAGCATGAGTATCTTTCTGTTTATCCTATTTACTGTGCACTCAGCCTCTAGAATCTATATGTTCATGTCTTTTGACAAACTTGAGGGAGTTTAAGCCACTATTTCATCTTATTCCTTTCAAGCTTTGCTTGGTTTCTCCTCTTCTTGCACAACTTTGATGACACAAAATGTTAATT